AGTGTTAATGAAAGTAAAAAATTTTGGGTGTTAAAATAACAAATGTTGATTCAAATTGTAGCGAGAACCTGAAGGACTGCCTATAGTAACTCGTGTTTTTTACTCAAATGCGAATATCCATTGGTATGTGTTGTTACTACATAATCTGTTGAGAAATGAATCTGGATAAATTCATATACTAATAAAGCAAAAGGAAGCCAACAAAAAATCCTCCAGTCCAATAATAAGTGCATATAATATTGCAGTATATTTATGCAGCATGTCCAAATTAATTGGATTTGGAAGCACACAGGTGTTGGCGAAGCTTATAATCAATTTCAAGTGTCGGCGACCAGAAATTAAGCATTATAATATTGGAGTGTTTTGTATTTAGACTCAAAAGCATACCATGAGCAACAATACTAATCTTTGTTGTGTCAGTGTATTAGATTTTTAAGTCCCATGGCATTATGACAATTTTAATGTGCCTTTTTCGTATGTTTTGATCGAATCTGATATTTGATTATAAAATTGAGCATAGTTGGCGTGCCCAAAATTTGACCTCTCAAAATGTAGGAGACTTTTTAGAATGGTCAATTGGACAGAGTACAAGATGAGTACAATTGCTGCAACACATTCATATGAAATCTGCTTTATGTTCCTGCATTCAATGCATCCTTCGCACATCACCAATCGCATACAAAAGCTGCTCTACACTAACCATTTCTATTTATCCCCTTCTACCAACACCGTCACAGAATAAACCAGAGCAAAACACAAAACCAAATTATTCATTGCTGTAATCAAATATATTTCGACAAAAAGTTGAATCTTAATTAATGATTCAATTATGAACGCCTTAATTTTAAATGAGTTATCACTTAATGAAAAATGTGTTAAATTAAGTATTAATCACATTGCAAGTTCTAAAAAAGAAAAAGATAATATAAGAGTTTAGTTATGTAAATTCAATGAATGGAATCTTGTCTTAAAACTTTTGTTTTTCTTTCACACCGGCAAAATTTAAGGATGTCTTTGATCTCAATAGTATGCATGTGCATATCTAACCTCGTTTTAAAATACTAAGTTACAATCAAAAGGAAATTAAAGAAGAGATATAAAAATGGACCAAGACAGTTTTGTCAATTTTTAGAATGTATCCACTTGCACCAATTTAACTTCTTTTCTTTCAAAAATATTTATCCAATTTCAAAATTATCTACAAATATCATATTATTGAAAAAAAAAAGGATACAAGAATTTTATTAAATGCTAAATAATTAAGGTAGGTAGCGTTTGTCCTTTATAAATTTTGTGTGGCTATTGATTCTTCCTCTCACTACCCCACCACTATTAATTCATGCCGGAAATGTGCCACAATACTTCCAATTCAATCTTCACATATACCATATTAAATTTTACAAAAGTCATTTATCTTCTAAATAACCAGTGTAACAATAATGTAAGCATCCATTATAATTAATTATGATAATATAATATGATTGGTTGTGTAAAGTTAGATAATTGGTTATTTGTAGAAATTTGACCTTTAATATGACTTACTATATTTTGAACGAAGAAGGAATGAGTTATCACCTAACCAAGAAAAAAACACATGAAATTGAATTAAAACTAAATTAATACTAATCTGTTAGGTCTAAACATCTAAAGAAAGTAGAATTTTTTAATGTGCAATTATCAAAATAAACATGAAATCTAATATTTAGTACCATCTATTTCTAAAATTTATATTAACTTTAAAATACATCTGCCGTTAAGGTCATGTCTAACAATCTTTTAAAAATTAAAACGAGTCGTAAAAATAAAATAAAAAATGTCTTGGAAGCAACTTTTTCTTTCAGAGTTCAAAGAGTGTTATCTTATCAGATTATTCTTGTCAGAGATTCTTGTATGAGAGTAGAAGTTACAACGAAGTGTTAGAATAAAACAAAAAAGTAAATCAGACCTTACATCATAACCTTGATTATGGTTTAATAAATTAAAAGTGACTATGGATTAAAACTTAAGTATTAATTAGCTACAAATATACTAATTAAAATTATCATTCTATATAAAGACTTTAATATAAATATTTATTTTTCTGAAAAATGTAATGTAAATTTAAAAACGACCCCGTTGGTGCTAATCCAAAAATATTATTTTGACCAAGAAATGCCAAAAACTTTAACAGCCAGATAAGAAAAGTGAAACGATTAGTAAA